TTGTCACCTTGGACTCTGCAAAAAAATAAATTGTTTTTTGTTTTTCCAAAAAAAAAAAAAATCAATTCGCGTCTGTCCTACCAAAAAAAAAACCAATAGGATAAATAATTAATGTGTACGCGTCGATCACACAAACTTCTTTTTAAAAATTAATAAACAAAATGTCTTCAAGAGGATCGAAAAAAAGAACCAAACAAACCTCAACCAAAGATACATATGAGTAAGTGTTTTAAGGATGTTGATGGTGGTTATCGCCTGCCACTCGTCGTTACTCTAGTTTTTTTTAAATGACTGACTTGTATTTGTATTTTTAGTCAAAATGAAACTGAACACGACTCTGAAAATTCCTTCAATGTTAAAAAAACATCAAATGAAGCTGAGGTTTGTTTATGTTACCTCTTGACACAAATTGTACTTTGGGTTACTTAATAAGTTTTTCTTATTCTCAAGCATAACTCCATGAATCCTAATAACAACCAAATTGTTTACGAAAATATACAAATATTAAGCACTCATGACCAAGATGTAAATAATCCGGAAATTGATAGTATTATTGTGGATAAGGTATTTATAATGAGGATAGTTTTTTTATTTTAACATAATCTTTTAAACAATATTTGAAATTTTCATTACTATTGCAGATATCTGATTTGATATTTTCCAATTTAAATCTTGAGGAAATTTGGGATAAAGTTATGGAAAGATTAAAGCAAGAAAATTTGCGAGTGCAGTATGTTATAGTAATGATTTGTAACTGTATGCTTTTAGCAAATAATATTCATTCTCCGCTCAATTACTAAAAAAAAAAATCCAGGTCCATTGAATCACGAATTGTAGACCTATCAAATTGGAAGAAAGTTATTGGGGCAGAATACTAAAACCATCAGATTATGCTCAATTGTTTAATGTATCAAAGAGGAAATTATGTAAGAATTTAATTGACAAGGAAGTACAAATTTGTTACATGATGGATGTGGCCAAATAGTAAGTTATTTTTTTTTGTTTGTAGTTACCTTGCTTATAACATATTTATAGATTATTATTGTATTTTATAGAGATCACTAAATGATTTAAAATTATGGAAAGACAAATTCTCAATTTTAAAATCTGAAGATGCCCAATTAACTGCTGGAGTTATTGAATTTTTGTAAGTTATGGTTGAACATTTGAATGAACAAAATGGAAGGTCATTGGATTGTTTTTTATGGATACTAACTGAAATTTTATTTAGCCATCTCTGTTTATGGAGGGAAGTAAACATTCTTGTAATGCAACATTGGGAAAGAGATTACATTGTCAAGATACTAAGCCCAATTATTGGATTCACTTTTAACAAATAATATTCATTCTCCCACTCAATTACTAAAAAAAAAAAATCCAGGTCCATTGAATCACGAATTGTAGACCTATCAAATTGGAAGAAAGTTATTGGGGCAGAATACTAAAACCATCAGATTATGCTCAATTGTTTAATGTATCAAAGAGGAAATTATGTAAGAATTTAATTGACAAGGAAGTACAAATTTGTTACATGATGGATGTGGCCAAATAGTAAGTTATTTTTTTTTGTTTGTAGTTACCTTGCTTATAACATATTTATAGATTATTATTGTATTTTATAGAGATCACTAAATGATTTAAAATTATGGAAAGACAAATTCTCAATTTTAAAATCTGAAGATGCCCAATTAACTGCTGGAGTTATTGAATTTTTGTAAGTTATGGTTGAACATTTGAATGAACAAAATGGAAGGTCATTGGATTGTTTTTTATGGATACTAACTGAAATTTTATTTAGCCATCTCTGTTTATGGAGGGAAGTAAACATTCTTGTAATGCAACATTGGGAAAGAGATTACATTGTCAAGATACTAAGCCCAATTATTGGATTCAAAAACCATCAGATTATGCTCAATTGTTTAATGTATCAAAGAGGAAATTATGTAAGAATTTAATTGACAAGGAAGTACAAATTTGTTACATGATGGATGTGGCCAAATAGTAAGTTATTTTTTTTTGTTTGTAGTTACCTTGCTTATAACATATTTATAGATTATTATTGTATTTTATAGAGATCACTAAATGATTTAAAATTATGGAAAGACAAATTCTCAATTTTAAAATCTGAAGATGCCCAATTAACTGCTGGAGTTATTGAATTTTTGTAAGTTATGGTTGAACATTTGAATGAACAAAATGGAAGGTCATTGGATTGTTTTTTATGGATACTAACTGAAATTTTATTTAGCCATCTCTGTTTATGGAGGGAAGTAAACATTCTTGTAATGCAACATTGGGAAAGAGATTACATTGTCAAGATACTAAGCCCAATTATTGGATTCATGTTTGAAGAACTTGATATTAGCACTTTTGAACTAAATTGGTAAGTGTCAAAATTTTACATCGCAATGATCTTAGCATTACATGTAGAAAGTGAAAATTTGTACATGAAGAATATATGGAATTAGAACCACCATTGAAAAAGATGGATTTAATAATATCATTATGTTCATACAAGGCTGAATTATTGGCACTTGAAGCAGGGAATGCTGAAGGTCCCATGGATTAAGGCTCCACATGAGCCAGCTCGCAAGCCAAATAACTTAGTAGGCTTGCAAGCCAGCTCACAAGCTGAATAAGTTTTTCGGCTTGCAAGCTAGCTCGTGAGGAGCTTTACCATGGATGATACCAAGTTCCGGCAAGATCATTCTAAAATCAAAATAGTAATGAAGGACTGCCTTGATTCCTTTTGGAATAAATTGCATTTTAAAAAAAATGAACTTGAAGAGGTCTTTGTAATGGGCATTCAGATTACAGGTATGTGTAAAAATACATCTTATTTATTTAGTGCAATTTGTTTTTCTGTTAAAAATTTTCTTATTTGGTATAGGCACAAGGTGGACGATCTATTCCCTTGTATACAATACTTCAAAAAAAATTTATTTTTTTACTGAGATGGTGACATTGACATTGCCAACATGCCAACAATTTTATCTGAGATGGAAGACCTTTTGCCAGATTTCTTGGAAAATCTTCTAGCATTACAGGTATACATGATATATTTGCCTTTCCAATCATTCCACCAGTGTTCACATTATTTTTATATTTATTATTTAGCATACACAAATAGAACTGGTTGCAAAGATTCGAAAATATTCTCAAAAAAGACTCTCTACTCCATCTCCACCCTCATCACCATTGCACGAAACTAAAGAGTCTCCCTTGAAAAAACAAAAAACTAAAGAAAGATCCTTTTCGTATCTTAGACAACTTATACTAAATAAAATAAATTAGTATGTCATTGTCATATATAATTTCAATGCACATATTTAATATTTATTGTAAATTTTAATCTTGTGGATGGTTAAATAATCAATATTAAGCTTAACATGTACATATATTATTATCTACATAAACAATAGAAGCATATAAACTTTACTCAATAAGGACCAATTCTCAAAGTTGCTCCAACTACTATTGCTATTGTTATTGTTAGTAGTGTTATTACTACCACTACTGCTACTATATCGCTATTGCTACTCCTATTGCTATCGGTACTAAAGACACTTACTGTAAATGATTGGACGGGTAGCTACCATTGACGTAAATAGCTTTTGGTAGCTACCATTTGTCATAATGACTGTGATTGCTGTGAATTATTATAATAATACGGTATATTCATTACCAGTAATCACTATAGAAGAATAGCTAGTGATTAATGTAAAAAGAAATTACACCGTCAAGACTTTCCAGCAAATATTTTTTCTTATTAATATGTATTCCTTGTATAAATCCGCGTTTATTCAAAATGGTGTTACTTTTTCGCTTCAAAGGTGAAATTATTTTTCAATACTGTAAAGTCTCGAAAGATAGCACTCGTGATGTTGCCTTTTATGGTTAGATTTTTCATTTGTCACGTATAATGTAAAATCATGATATTATTTTAGTATTGCAATTGAGAAAGTCCCTTTAGAATATTTAACCAATAACTTAATTACAATATAAAAGGACTATTGGTTTATTAAATTAAGCCAATAATTAACTAAAAAAATAGGATTAATATCTGATAAATATTGTCACTTTCAATATTTACTAATAGGCTTTTAGAATATATGAATATATGATAAAATACTAAGAATATTATTTTTAGACGTTTTATTTTTTGTAACACAAGATGTGTAACATGTAAATAATAAAAATTTTCTTCGATTTTTTTTATACATTCATCAATATGAGTGAATTTGAAAAGGTAAATTAACAAGTTTACTCGTGAATTAATTTATAATACTAATATATCTGATTTTGAAAAAGGTTGTTATTATTGATGCTAAAGGACATTTATTAGGACGCTTAGCATCAATTGTGGCCAAACAAATTTTAACAGGTCAAAAAATTGTTATTGTCCGTGCAGAAGATTTGAATGTATCTGGATCATTTTTTAGAAACAAGAGTAATTAAATCAATAATTCTTTTTGACTTTCTTTTAAAAAGCTTCTGTTTCATTGACCTTAATACAAATATAAACTCGCCATATACAAATATAGTCAAGTATCATTCCTACCTTCGCAAGCGATCAATTGTAAATCCAGCACGTGGACCATTTCATTTTCGGGCACCATCCAAAATCTTTTATAAGACAATACGTGGTATGATTCCACATAAATCATCACGTGGAGCTGCAGCATTAAAGCGTCTTAAGATCTTTGAGGGTATACCACCACCATATGATAAACAAAAAAGAATGGTAGTACCTGATGCTTTGAAAGTTTTGAAATTGAAACCAGGTCGTAAATTTACAACAATTTCACGTTTATCAAAAGAAGTTGGATGGAAATATAAAGAAGTTGTTGAGAGATTGGAGGAGAGACGTAAAGCCAAGAGTAAAGAATTTTATGAACATAAAAAGAAAGAAACTCAAATCAAGGCCAATGCTCTAAAGAACAAAGAAAAAGAGTTAAAGAAAGTTCAACAACAACTCAATGCATTTGGTTATTAATTTATTTGTTTAATTTACAATAATAAAAAATAATTTTTATTCAATTCGTTTACATTCTCTCTTTAATCATTTAAGCATGCATTTCCTTGAAATTTTTCGTTTTGAAATTTTATCATTAAAAAAAAAAGAATAGCATAATGTTTTTATTTTTACTTAATATTTAAACAGTTCAAATTATACCAATGTTTGATGTAATTGATGGATGATTGGTTAAATAACAGGTCAACATTTGCTCATACAAGAGCAAAATCATTGGCAAGAGTAAATTCAATTAAAAATAATTTAATTAGAGGCAACAATTTAAAGTTGACATTTTGATTGCAATTCCAGGAAAGATATATATAAAGATTCATGGTAATTAATGTTACACTAAAATCAAGTTTATAATACATACTAATATCATTTCTACATTTAAAGACTTCAATCAATCAAAAACATCAATATTTATTTATTTTGATGTTTTAGGATGTACTTGGTTTCTTCTTCTTTTCTGCTTCCGCCTCTTTCTCTTTCTCAATTTCATTTACTATTCAATTGTAAATCCAGCACGTGGACCATTTCATTTTCGGGCACCATCCAAAATCTTTTATAAGACAATACGTGGTATGATTCCACATAAATCATCACGTGGAGCTGCAGCATTAAAGCGTCTTAAGATCTTTGAGGGTATACCACCACCATATGATAAACAAAAAAGAATGGTAATGCCTGATGCTTTGAAAGTTTTGAAGTTGAAACCAGGTCGTAAATTTACAACGATCTCACGTTTATCAACAGAAGTTGGATGGAAATATAAAGATGTTGTTAAGAAATTAGAGGATAGACGTAAAGTCAAGAGTAAAGAATTTTATGAACGTAAAAAGAAAGAAGCTCAAATCAAGGCTAATGCTTTAAAGAACAAAGAAAAAGAGTTAAAGAAAGTTCAACAACAACTCCATGCATTTGGTTATTAATTTATATGTTGATTAATTAATTTATAATAATAAAAAATAATTTTTATTCAAAAAATTAAACATCACTAATTGAATTAGAAGTATGGTTCTATGATGATTTGTTTCAAATTTATTTATATTCTTTCTTTAGTCTTTTAAGCATGAAATTTTTAGCTTTTAATTTTATCATTAAATAAAAAAAGAATAAATAAATAAATCAAATATATTATATTAGCAAAAATTTTTTTTTCTTAATGTTTAAATTATACTAATGTCTAATGTCTATTGGTTTAATTGAATAGATTGATTTTGTTAATAACAGGCCAACATTTGTTTGCTCATGAGCAAGAGCAAATTATTGTAAGAGTAATTTATTTATTTATATATCTTTTGTTTTTCTAAAAATTAAATTATAATATTAATAATAATTTAGCAACAATCAAATTGACATTTTGATTGCAATTCCAGGAAAGATTAATTGAACATATTATGATTCATATGATAAATAACGTTGCCCTAATATTAGGTTATGGGTTATGATACAAATCAATGTGTACTAATATCATTTCTACATCTGAAGATTTCGATCAATCAAGCCACCAATATTTATTTATTTTAATGATTTAGGATGTACTTGGTTTCTTTTTCTTTTCTGCTTCTGCCTCTTTCTCTTTCTCAATATCAGTTACTATAACTTCAACCTCTTCGATTTCTAAACTCTGTATGTTTATCATGAATTATAATAATATTGATAATAATTAAAATAACAATTTCAATTACATAAATCTATAGAGATCTAGTAATATTAGTGGTGTTAATAATAATAATACTAAAAGGCTGTTTACTTTAATTATAGCATCATTAGTCATCACTGCAATCTCGATATTTTTGGCGCCAGTTTGTACAACCTAATAAATTTATAAACTGTTATTATCAAATATATACACACATACATGTCTATATATAATAGTTATCATACCTCTAAAAGAGATTTAACGGCCAATTTTATGGTTTCATCTTTTGATAAACCTTCCTTATAATTTTTTTCCAAAAATTCAAGGACAGTTTTTGAACTTCTTCCAATTGAATTTGCCTTTTGATTTTTTTAAAAAAAATATTTAAAAAACTTATATAAACTCTCTTAATCAAAACATTAAATAAGTAAGTAATGTTTGTAATATTTACCTTCCATGCTGAATATATGCCAGATGGATCAGTTTGATAAAGTCTTGGTACCTTATCATTAGCATCAAATCCAATAATAAGTGTTGAAATACCAAATGGACGTACACCACCACTTTGTGTGTATCTCTAAAATCAAATAATAATAATAATACCTAAATATTTACTTAATGTCTAACTGAGCGAGTATTTAATATATTATAAATACTATAACCACATACCTGTTGAACACCTGCAATGTAACGTGTAATATATTCAACAGTTACGGGGTCTTCAACAGTAAGTCTATGGCTTGGACATTCTATTCTAGCTTTATTAACAAGAACCCTTGCATCTGCACTAAGACCTTTTACAATTCATTAGGAATGTATTTTTAATGTTTTTATTATTAATTTATAATCTTCACCTCAAAAAAAAAACACAATAATAATAACAGCAACAACAGCAACATCAATAATTCTGTACCAGCAAATGCCATGCATACGTGATCATCTAGCATGGCAATCTTTCGTACAGTGCGTGGATCTTGTAATTTAAGAACTGCTTTTTTTTTCAAACCAAGAACAACACAATCTTCACCACGGACTCCCACCTATACAACGAATTAATTAATAAACATAAAAATTCCTCATAAATGATTGAGTAAATATCAAACGTAAACAATAAAGATAAATACCGCACAAGTTCCTTTTCTAACAGCTTCTAAAGCATATTCAACTTGAAATAAATGTCCGTCTGGCGAAAAAACAGTTAATGCTAGAAAAAATAACTAAATTGAATTAACTAAAAGTTGAATTAATTATAACAATTACCTTGTATTAAGAATTAGGGTTTAAATAAAACAAGAAAATTTACCGCGATCATAAGATCCAGTCATTATTTTTTATTCATAACATATCCATTTTTAGTTTATATTTTACTTTTAATACAAATATTATAAGAAGTTGTTGATATACTATATAATAGACCATATTGGTAGTATCATTCATTGTATTAGATGTTACGTGATCCTTGATTGTTTTAAGAAATGATAATTTTTATTCCTTTCGGTTATATCATTTTCATCATACATAACCTAATTCATTGAAAGTGACTTTGGAGCAAATATTGGCGACAATTATTGGATGGTAAGGAATTTAAATACCAA